TTTCTACCTGTCACTCAATCATTTCTATCACGAGTTGATTCTGACAAGTTTTTACATCCAGAATCACCTTCATGGATCATTTGTGGGTTTTCTTCTTCAGACTCACCACAGCTGTTGTGTTTCAGAGGCTGGCTGATGTGAACATGGTGCAGGTTTTATAAAGGATGTGGTTCATGTGAACATGAGGAAGAATCACAGCAACGTGTGAACATGAAAGTTCAGGTCAGGCTTTTCTGTTCCTGTGGGGACAGACTCTCATGTTCCAGCTCTGCTCTCGCTGTTTCCTCCACAGATGAAGGCAGAACGTCTCTGGAGCTGATGTGGATTCAGCAGCATCAAGGTGATTGACTTTGGACTATTGCAGCAGCTGCCACTGCAGCCTCTGACTGGATATAGTGGACTTGGACAAAGAGAAACATGTCAGATGAATCTTCCTCTGAAAGTTCTCGTTGTGGGGAACGTGAGAACCAGAGCAATGCTCAGAGGTGAGATGAGCATCTGTGACTGTCAGAGCTCAGCACTCACATCACTGCTCATCATGATTCACTCACAGCTCTGTTTGTGTTGAAGGTCAGAGCAGCAGCATCCACCACACTCTGCTGGACCTGGACCTGGACCTGGACCTGGACCTGGATCAGGACCTGGAACAGGGCAAAGATCAAGATCAAGAACGAGAAGTAGACCTGGATCTGGCTGTGTGCCTATCAGACAGAGGGACCGGTCAATGACTCCTCCTCTTTCTTTCAGCCGATCTTCAGATGGAAGGTGAGACAGTAAAACTGACAGAAAGACGTTTCAGATACAAAGTTGTTTTTGTGTTTATTAAAAGCTTGAAGATGTTTTTCATCAGTTTTATTTGTTCTGGTTTTGTTTCAGGATCCAGCAGCAGAGACCAGACTGTCCTGAACCCAGCTGTCTGTCCTTCAAGAGCGACTGGTTGAAGGATGAATTTATTGTCTTTAAAGATGTCCGTCCATCTGCTGATCAGATGTAAGCTGTAACTGACAGAAAGAGTCACTTCTTCTAGAAATCAACTCTTTTGTACGACGTGTTGTCTGACCTGGTCTGAAATCCAAAGTGTTTGTGTCTGTTGTGAACGTCCACGTCACAGCGAGGGGGGAGACGTGATGAGGTTTAAATATGGAGACAACTGCTTCCATTCTCAGAGTCTCCTGAAGACGTTGATGGTGTTTGTCTCTGTGTGGACAGACGTACTGAGAGCTAACTGTTGATGTTGATCCACAGAGTCCAGCAGCAGAGCTC